AAAAGAGAAGCTGGCCTGGTACTGGGAGTGAGGTACAGATGCAGTTCAGTCTGATTTGCATTAACTTTGATGCTATTTGTTATGAGATCATACGTGATGCAGTAGGTGGCAGTCAATGTAATACACGAGATAATTTCCATCATAATACTGGGAAAATAAATTAAGATTTTTTTTCCATGGTAATCTTGTTTAGAGTTCAAATAATCAATTTGAGGCTGTGAGATGGAGAATAATACAAGTACAACAATGTTAAATTATATTTCAGTAATATCTCTGCCTATCTGGGAAATCTTTAGAAGTACTTTTATCCCATTATACAGTCCTTCAGCAAGCAAGGCCAAAGTCAGAGAAGCACATAGAAGAATAATGCTTATAAATCACCCTGACAGAGGTACATAGAAAAATTATATACTACTGAGATGTAATCAACCAAAAATGCAAACATTACTTTGTAGAATTTGAGTGGAAGTGGGATTTGATGTCAAAGTTTGATACATTTTAAACTTTATTTTTGATGGGGCATCATAGGAAACTGAGAATGCAAGAAAAGTTTGCAAACTACTAATTTTGCAAACCTCAGTATAAAATTTAATTGAAGTAGACTTAATTGATTAAATACTGATTCATAAGTTATCTTGTAGGAGGCTCCCCTTACCTTGCTGCTAAAATAAATGAAGCAAAAGATCTCCTTGATGGAAATGGCAAATGATACTAACAGCTTCAAATGGCAGAGTAAAAAATTTTCAAGTAAAGCTGGAAAAGATGACCGATGACCAAGGGTAGTGCTACAAGAAAATCTTCAATCAAAACTTCATGGAATATTCCAAATGACAGACTGTAGGAGATAACAGACAGAAACAAATTTAAATCTGCAGAACTTAAGCTTTGTCAAGCATTCCTGGTGGGTCAATCTTGAACTGAGCTCCAACACCAGAATTAAAACTTGTGGACAAGAATCCCACAGAGTGCTAGACTTCATTGTTACATCAAGAACAAAACTTTTTGTATGTCTTCTCTGTTGTCCAGCAAATATGGGATTGCAACAATAAGTTTTTGAGGAAATTGAGAATTTCACTTAGGAGCGGTGAAACAGAGACAAGAGAGCACTAAGCATAATTACTTTGCAAACTACACATTGTATTGTAAATAAAGGTTTTATTCAGGTATCACATTTACTGGTCATATTTTGTCAACACCTCTTTGTAATTTTATTGTTTCCTCATTAAATACAAGGAATGCAGTATAATAAGGTATTGTTTATTTCCAGTCAAGTTCAAAGTTAAATAATAAATTTAAACCATTTTCCCTCTGATTTATTGAAATAAATAGTCACTGATAGATAATGATGAATACCACTAATTTGTAAATAATTTCAACAGAATATAAAATTATAGTCTGTGCCAGCCACATTGGAATTACAGTAAGTAAAATAAGGGAGGCATTGTATTTTAGTTCAAGAATAAATATCAAAACGACAAGTTAGAGCACTGAGATTTATTCATTTATAAGTTTCTATTTGTTTTTGACTACCATGACATTTTTTTTATAATTTTTTGGTCTTGATTTTTATTTGTTATTTTCTGCTTCATGTCAATTAAAAACAATGTTTGGCACACCACACTAGTGTTAATTCACCTTTTTAATCTTATACCTTCGAATTACTGCATCACATGTTTAAGCACATTCTATAATCATGTGCTGGCAACTCCAGTTGCAAAAAATTAAATTTAAATCTAAGCTTGCAACCATCCAAGACATCACTTGTTCTATGAACAACTTCCAAGATGCATTCCACAGACTTGAGCACGACAAGTTTTGGAGACTATTGCAGCAGAACATCATTCACGCCTCAGCCACTCTGGCTGTTCTTGTAGTTGACGTTGACTGACCTCCGAGTCTTCAGCTTCTGAGAGAGAAAGTCAAAAAGGGCTAATTCATAATATGATCGCTGCTGGCACAGGTGCAATGTGCGGTAGTTCGAAGAGGAGAAGGGTTACAAAAGACTGCAGAAATTAGAAGTTCAACGATGCTGCTCAATTTTTGGCTGAAAGCTCCTTGATTGTTCACAATCTTTTGTTTCTTGTCGCAACCATTGAATGAAGTCATGGATTAATTCCAGTACAGAGTTAATTTGACATGATAGAATGCTTTGTTGTGCACAGTTAGGTCCAAAGAAACTAATAAAAACTGAAAACAAAGAAATATTACTGAGTCTCCAAACCACTCATCTTTCACAACTCAGTTCGGTGTGGAAGCTCGCAGTGCAGCCAGGTTCCTCATTTAGCCACAAGAAGTCTTTGTTCTAGCCTAAGTTTTGTCAAGGCTCATGGCCAAACTTTGTGCACAGGTTAGCTTGACTATTTACCTGATGATTGATATTCCACTGGGTAGAGGTGAAGTTTTCTCAGAACGTTTGCTATATTCTCAACTTCGTTTTTCCTTTCAGCACCAACCCAAGCCTTGTTTTGATTGCAATACTCCAGAAGTCTGAAATATATATACATAAAATGAACACATCTTTCTTGCAAACCAGTGGATTGCAGGGCAGCGGGCGGTAGAGGAAGGCTGTTCTTCACCATTACCTAAAAGGAGTGCCTGATGACTGATAGACTGCCTAGCTGACTGACTAGTTATTTAGAGTTGCTTGACCATGATTCTTGTTCTGGGGTTACTACACGTCAATAGCATTTCATAAAATTGAATGCATCATTGTTCCTTAGTTGAAACAAACTTGCCACTAACCTTGTCCAGTTTCCATCCATACAAAGCATATCTGGGTTTCCTATCACAATCAAGAGAGCCTGGGCACGAGTTACGGCCACGTTGAATCGCTGAAAGGGACATTGCTCATCAGTACTTATTCGATATTGGAGGCTAAACGATAAAATCGCGAGCGATAAACATGTTAGATCGCTATCGATACCTTCGGGTTGTCTAAGAATCCAAGGCGAAATTCTTTGTCCATGTCAAGGTAATCTTTGTTGGTGCTCCTTACAGTTGACAAGATGATCACTCTACGTTCTTGTCCCTGGAATTCTTCCACGCTGCCAACTTTAATTCCTGACCCGAGTCGTCTCTTTTCAATCATCTTCTGAATCTTTTGCACCTAAGCAAGAGAATTTTAGATTGCTTTAGGAAAAAATGTATCCTATGCCCCTATGCCGACAAGAAGAGGAAAGTTACATTTTTGTAAACTAAAACTTTTTAAAACGCAAGTGTTCAAGCTGATTGGCTCGGTAAATTTTGGTGACGGCAAGAATTAAATCATGCTGACATTGTCCTTGAAATATCCCATTCAACGAATTGTTACGTTGAACGACGCCCATCTGTTGCGATGACGACGCGGTCTTTAGAACCGCAAGAGGGATATGGCGAATACCAAACGGTTTCTTCTCGCTCCAAAAAAGCCGTAGTCATGAACAAAATGCGGCCTTTGTACCACAGTTTACCTACCTGTTTCTTGTACGGCGAAATGATTCCAACCATCTCAGGTTTAAGGTGCATAAGCCTTTTGCTTCTCTCTTTGTCGTCCAAAAGTTTCTTCAGGTAAAATTCCACGGTTTCCACCTCAGTTACGTTAAAGAACGAAGGGCTGTTCTCTTCTCGTTCGTCTTTGCCATACACCGCGTGGAAGATCATTGGAAATTGCTTATTCGGCAGCTCCTCCCAATTGAGCATAATGTTTCTGTAATGAGTTTCAAAAGTTGCCATTTTTCTTACAACTCCTAACTAAGAGGTGCTAAGTTAGTTGGTCGGCCTGTTCACTCCGCCGCCGGCCATTCTGCCTGCCTGTCCACTTATCATTCCTTCAGTCAGCTGGTCTGTTGGTCCATCAGTCGATCTGTCTGTCTGTCGACATTCGGTCTGATCATATACGGGAGAGACTGTGATCCAGCAAGGAAATGTGTCATAGTGGTCGGTTGGGTATGGAAAAGTATCATAGTGGCCGGTTGGGTATGGAAATGTATCATAGTGGTCGGTTGGGTATGGAAATGTATCATAGTGGCCGGTTGGGTATGGAAATGTATCATAGTGGTCGGTTGGGTATGGAAATGTATCATAGAGATCGGTGGGGTTATATTAGAAGAAGTGTAGTGTTTTTTAACTATTTCGTTACCTATCTCACCTAAAATCCCCAGCGCATTCATTTAATTCATCGTCATAAAACAGTTTCTTGGGAATCTCGATGATGTCTCGGTGGGAACGCTAATTGTTGACCAGTTTTGTCAAAAGATTCGGATCGTAGTTTGGTTCTCGCCAGTACGTGTTGCACGACGTCATCAACCGCTCCAAGAGGGAAATGCCTGAAAATGAAATAGGTAGGTTTTATTGTAACCGAATGTTAATGTGGATTTCGAGAAGTTGGGGCCATTAACAGAACGCTAGGAAAGCTTGCCAAACTCTCCTAGTCAAAAATGCCCGTCTTCAGCAAAGGAGACGGAAAATCACTCTAGCCGTTTTTTTCTCTACAAGCATTGGAAAAAAGACAGCAAATTGATACAGAGATACACAAGACCTACAGAATAGCGAAGAGTCATCACCATAAACAATTAAGCCATTGCGAGAATAAACGAAACAAGGCACGACAATAACATGCTCAGCTTCTGGAAATAACTGTGAATTTGGTTATGTGCCGTTCTGTGTACCATAAAAAGATGATTCAACGATTTGTCGTATAATACTAATCGCCACGCTTGTTTGGTGCTCATTTTGAAATTAGAGATTTACATGACACTTTCACATCTTCTCCGCACAAAGCTGATGGAGCATGCGACCGCGACATCGAAAGGTCTGAGGTTCATAGTAATCCTCTTTGAGTTAGGTGTATTTAGTACCCACCGAGGCCATTTTCTTGTGTTGTTTTGCACCTAAGGATTGGTCCTAACTGCTTAGGGTCTCCCGCAAGCACCAGCTGACCGCCCCTGGGGTTATCAGGGTCCAGAAGGTCCGCCACAGGGATGATACACTCAGGTTCTGTTGCATGCCCTGCCTCGTCTATGAAAATGTGTGTAAAATGCTGCCGCGGGAATAATGCAGAAACCAGCCTGGAAATTCATGAAGGAATATGGTTACTGCTTAACCTATGCGTAACACTCCCTTCTAGTTTCTCTTGGTCTAATTCGTAACTACGACCAATTAATGAAAATATCGCTACTTTATCTCACTCCAAAATAAATAAATCAATAAATGAATAAGACGCTTTGCAGAAATAAAATCCCTGGAGTAACATAGGGCATCAGAGAACGCAACTTTCTTCACTCTTATCTTCTAGTGATTCGTCTCTAGGCTCTTTGGAGTGCTTACCTTCCTGCGGTTACCAAAGTAGAAACAATTATGCGATAGTTCTCCGTCAATTCCTCCTTTGAGGGATAATACACTTCACGTGTGACTCGATCAAAATTTACCACTTGAGCGTCCTGCAAATTACCATACCTTGCATAAATTTAGGCGAACCATAAAGTCAAAATGTGAAGTGTGGGTCACCCTTTGGAGAAATCGGTAACGTGAAATAACTTTTAAAACTTAAAAGAGCTTCACTCAAAAATTGCAAATGGCAACGGGGTTCAGTAAAATCAAACCATCTAACTGAAGGTAGTAAAGTTTATCTCGAGTCGATGGTAAGCGTTTGAACGTTTATTTGCAATCATCGTGTTCTTCTTTACTAACTTACTGACCTACTAAGGATCAGCGAAAAAAGAGGTTAATTTTTAAAAGCCATTTTCGGTATTCAAACAGAATTGAGCAGAATTTATTGTCTTGTTATGTTTGAAGAACCTCACCTTGAGAGGTTGTGACACGAATTCCCAAGGTCTTGATGCAGCATACATCCTGAATAACTTCCCCTTATCGACGTGAGCCACTAAACGCTCGGCTAACAGATCAGCGGCACTGTTTTCAGGCGCACACGCCAGAATAACACTTGACTCAATTTGATTATGTACCTAAGTATGACAGTAACGACTGAAAATGAATCTCTGCTGGTTTCAGTGTATATGTACCGGCGGGTTTAGCATATAATGTCACGTCACCTCACAAAACCAAATCTACTTTTCAGCTCTTATCAAATGACAGAGAAAAAAACCTAGCCAACAGCGACGTAGTCTATACCTGTTTGATAGCTTCCACCAACGTCACAGTTTTTCCAGTTCCGGGGGGTCCAAACACGAGATAAGGAGCAGGGCGCGATGATCCTGACAAAATCTTCTGGACCGCCTGCTTTTGTTCATCGTTTAAGTTACGATCGTAAAAGGATCTGAGACAGAATTGGATGTAACGGACAGAAATGTCATTAAAGGAAACTAAGTTGGAAAGCGAATATACGTCCTACACTCAGTTTGTGAGTTACTGGGAAAGCTTGAGAAATCCCAAAGAATCGAACACGTTTAACTTAAAACCACGTTTACCCACGAAAAGCGAAGAGAAAAAAAGTGAATTTTTGTTGACTTTGTTGTCTACTTCCTGCCAAGTACGTAAAATTCCTCTTGGGTGTTTTCAGTGGTACGCATTTGCAACAAACATGATTCTAAATATATCGATTAAAACGTACCTGTTGTCAACTCTTTTATCAATCTCAGGTCTGCGAACAAGACTTTCTCGTTGTGGAAAAAGGACTTGTCGCATTTCTTTCCTTTTCTCCGGCGCAATCCGCTCACATGCACGATGTTCCATTTGCACCGTCAGTCTGTTGAACGTGAACTGAATGTCGAACTTTTTCCCCTTTATGAACGGTATCCTGAGGAAAAAACTATCGATCATTGATGGAAAACACAAACTTTTTCTACAAAGGTTCTAGTAGTAATTGTTGTGTTTTACAATGTCCTTTCGCTAGAAGGAAATGGTAGTGTGCATTAATGAGAAGGACGAGATATGATATGATTTTGGTGAAAAAGAAATTGTTATTCCAAGGGAAGTGGAAATACACATATAAGAACAATTTAAAATAGTTGACCCTTAAACTGCCAAGAATGATTAAACTATAGCTTTTCCTTACGTAAGTATTACTTTACACCAAGGGACGTACAGTGGTGGATCTAGGGGAGGGGTACAAGGGGCCCGCTTTCCCCCCCCCCCTCATTGAGTACAAAAATAAACGCAAAGGGAAGAAAAGCCGGCAGATGCACACACACTCACACACACACACACATAAAACCACCTCCCCCCTTTGTAAGGGGGGGTGGGGGGTCCGCCACTAACGTGTACACTGCAACAGAGTTTTTGTTAACCGGAGGAGTCGTTGAAAGAAAAGAAACATTTTTCCTACCTTTATCGTATAGGGGAGGTAACGCTATGGAACAAGGAAATTTTGGCACTCCTTCACCTTTCGATTTTTAAAAGAACACATTTGAGCTGAAATATTTAAAATAGAGCTACTTACTGTGACCTGTCAAATCCAAGTTTGACGTTCAGCAGTTGAACTTTATGAACAATTCCTTCGTACCGATGTTGGCGCACACCATGTTCGTATGCATAGATTCTATCTCCACGCAATACCGAAGGACGGTTTTCAGCAAGGCCTGGTACCTAATGTTAAACATTTTAGCCATGGCTTGAAGTAAGCAATCAGGAACAAGTCAACAGCCTTCCATCGTGGACTTCAAACAACCATGGCAATCTTTAACGTAAATTCAGCAGGGTTAAAGATTCATGAGAAGCTAAAAACTTACCTCAAAAATAAGGAACCTTCAGTCAGTACTATCCTCTTCCATTTCTACCTCTTTCATATCGTAGAACCTGATGTCGTTTTTCATTTGAATTTCTTCTAACTGAAGAAGCAGACGAAACCTGTCCTTGTAGCTGTCAAAAGTTAGTGGTTTCTCTAGCTGTTCCCTGGAGTTCAAGGAGAAGTAATGCTGAGCAATTCAAGAACAGATGTAAAAAAAGGGATGAATGAATGAATAAATGAAAAATGTAAGTGCGCGACTTCTCTGTTCAAAGCAGTTTTGTTTTCGAAAGGCACTCACTGAAGCATACGCTCAATTAAAGTGATTTGCAAATTACTTTGATTGGCAAAGATTTCCACCAATTTAAGAATAATAATTAAGATTCGCAAGGGAAATACACGCTATTGCATTAAAGGTTTCTTTTTCTAGGTGTCTAGAAAGTACTGGAGTTGTGAAAAAATCATCCCTATAGTAAGAAAGGAAGAAATGCCCAAGTTATTTTAATTCAGCGTCACTTACAAGCACACGCTTTAAAACTGTTAAAATTCTAAAAGAATGTTTATACATGTGAAGGTGTAGTCTGATCGTCCGGGTGAGTGTAGTCCTGAGAAGGACTGTTGTCAGTGGTAGTGACTGACGTTTCGACAATCTGTGCAGAAGTCATCATCAGAGTCAAGTGAATGAACATTCTACTATGACTTCCGCACAGGTTGTCGAAACGTCAGTCACTACCATCGACAACAGTCCTTCTCAGGAATACACTCACCCGGACGATCACACTACACTTTCACACGTTACCCCCGGGTTCAAGCCATTTACTGCAATATTTAGACACTTAATTATTTATTACTGATTGACTTCCACCATTTTTCTATTTGCATTATCTGTGACTATGTCGTTGGGGTTAGGATTTACCTGATTCCCTTTCGATTCTGCTGAGCAATGACAGTGGGAGGGACTTCATAGCGCTCCAATCTCTCCATTCTTAAGCCATCTCGCCTTAGCCTAAAATACAAAAAAAACACCAGTTTGTAAAGTTGGGATTCAAAAGCCTCAAATGTAAACTTTGAGTACCTTTTAAGTGCAATGCTAATTCATTGCTATTCAGTTCAGTTTAGTTCAGTTTAATACTAACAACGGCCCTGAGAGCTTCGTGGAAAGACCAGATTGACAATGAAATTCACGGGAGATATTCCACCGATATCTTTGAGTGCGATTTTCTATCAGTGCAACATTGAGTATGGTCCGAGCTGCTCTGCAGTAACACCCAGTATAGATAAAGGACTGAGGTTGGATAAATCAGTATCATTATTATTTTGTGGAATACAACCCATGGGGAGAGATCAAAGGATCGCCTTGTGACATCAGTTGGAAGGTGACATTGCCCGACCTAGAGAAATTTCAATTAAGCTCAGTCATTGTTGAGGGTGCCCATTAGCGGATTATTTAGAGAGCTTTTTAACAACAAGTAAGAACAAGAACGGTTCACTTACGGTGGTAGTGCCAAGCCCCTCGTAGTTTTGACATCCCATGGAACCTTCTGGGCTTTGGATGGAGTCCGATACCGTGTAGTCGGCCTAAGCTCCTCAAACAGGTCGCTAATAATCTGCACAGCTAAAAACCTCAAGATGTGAAATTCTGAACCGTTCTCTTTTTTGAATGTGAGCACAACTGGTACATACGAGTAGCCATACTCGCGTCGATTTTTGCAACCTATAGAAAATGTACTTCTCTTTCCTACAAAAAGAGGATCAACATACGTATCACGTAAGCATGGGGCTTCTTTATCAATTTAACAATTATTCCACGAGCGCGTGTTGGATATGACATGATAGATAGCCAATGAGGCGCGTAGCGCCGAGTTGGCTATAATCATCTCATATCCAACAAGCGCGAGTGGAATAATTGTTTTTTAAAACCGTTAAATTAAATTATCAAATTTATTAAATTTTTAGCTCCCTGTTAATTTTAAGCTGACACATACGCTTGCCATATTGTAGATTATGGTATCTTGGCTGATATACCATAATGGCTAAGCCAATAAAAAGTCTTGAATTGCATTATCCAATGATCTAGTTTTTAATAAAATACATTACTCAGTCAATACGCCCGTTGGTTTACGTCAGCCATTTGCTATCAGTGACAATTGTTATTAGTTAAGGCTAAACGCGTCAGAATTTATCCATCGATTCCCTGACAAGATCGCGAACCAGAAGACATAAAAAGAAATCTGGCTATAAGGATATGAAGCTGATGGTCAAGAAAAGAAAAGTATCCTAAATACAAGTTCAGTAAGTGTTATATCACAATGTGATACTTTATTCCAACCAATCAGGGTGCGTGAATCATTCTCATTTGTGAACCGGGAATAGTTCGTGGCAATAAAAAAAGCCAAGTTTAACTACGGTTGCATAAGGGTAAGAACTGTAAAATAATTGAAAAGAGAATACATCATAATCATGACCAAGAGAAAATTGCCTTGAACTTAAGTTATGATATAGAAAAAATCATGTAACACATACAATAAGTCAGACATAGTTCAAAGTGAACCAAACTGTTACCTGCGTAAAGATGTCCTCGATCTGGTCCAATTGCTGATATGTCAGAGTAATCAAAGAAATTCACTTTCCATAAAAGAGTTATGTCCTTTAATTTAACTTCCTCGGTGCCTGCATTATCCACAACTAAATTTATTCTTCCTCTCTCTCCCTTTCCAACATTTAACTCAATGACGCCATTTTCGTCACCTGGAGGCTCGGAGGTAACCATTATTCCATTTTTATCCAATACAAGGGCGGGCCTGTTTTATTGAAAAAAAAAAAAATTCTTAGTTTTAGAGAGCAAACACAATTGTTTTGGTAATAATGTTGACACTTGGTGAAGAGTGCTTGAGTTCTATGAGATTCCGAATAAATTTCACGTTATACTGCATCGCTTTTACACGCATTATTAACTCAAAGTGACCTTGTTCGCTATTTACTGTACAGATTTTCTCAGTTGATGCGCGCTGCCACTTCATACGGCATTCTAGATCTTGGGAGCGACGATTAAAAATTGAAACCTGTGAATATCACATCAAGAATAAAAATTAGGGGAGATCAGCTCTTGCTCTCTAAATTAAGATACTAGTTGAAAGGAAAGTGACTTCGTCTTTAGTGAGGTTGACATGAGTTATCATCTTCAGAGGATTTGTTTTGAACTGTCCGTCAAACGCCGAAATACCGACCCTGCATAGCATTACAGAGCGAGAATGGGGCGAGAGAGGTCACACAAATGGCTCTCACGTGGGTGATTTTTCGCTATAGCTTGTGCCAGTCAGAATCACTCGCATTCAGATCACAAATTTTCTTAATCGATTGTAGAAGTAAGGATAGTAAACGTTTCAACAATCTCTCTACTCACTTCTCTACTGATTCTCGAATATTCTTCAAGACATTCTGTTGACGGTGACTGACCGTTTCTAAATGATTTGCAAGGGCTGCAATATCCTGAAAACTTCTCTTGCAAATCTTGCAACGAGGGTTCCTCCTGTACATTTCTCCTTCCTCGTCAGAACTCGACTCCTCAGGAACGTCAAGGGAGAGCATTCGAAGCGCTGCTGCCTCCCCGCTACCAAAGATAACGAGGCCGTGGATTTCCTGACATTGGCGTAAGTGATATTTGAGTGCGTTAAGCACAGATGAGAAAGAAACTCCCGGTGTATTGTATTTACGACGATATCTTGATTCAAAGATGCTCTTCAAATCGGACCTCGGCATTTCATGTTTTAAACCATTTTCCCCCAAGAACTCAATAAATGTTGTCGCCACACTCTTAACATCATCCAAAGTTCGCCGGAACATCTTGAAACTCAAACCGTCTGCCAGAAAAAAAATAAAATATAGCTTTCATATCTAATAAGGTTAACTTTGTGGTACGTTTTGTGAAAAATATTCGTGAGCCATGACAAAAGTACCCAAGCTCACGCAACAATGGGGAAAAAGGCGTTAGAAGTACGAAACTGTCACCGACGATAATTTGAAAAGAAGTCGAGTCGAGTCGAAGATACACCCTCATATCCCTGGGGGATTCAAGAGCAACGAGGAGAGTGTTCTGCGATGTACGGAATGCCGATTTTGACGTCCAGACAACAGAAGGAACAATTCGATTCTGGATTTTAGATTTTATCAGCTTTTAATCGATTAGTAAGCGTAGTTTTGAAGATGGATTTATACTAAACAAAGGTTTAACAAAAATGAGCTGATCGTGAGGAGGCTCCCTAAAAATAAGATTTCGTACTTCCACTTGAGATTCTGAAACATTTGATTTATTTCAATTATTCAATTGATGTTACGTAACGATCCTCGCATTTTTTAAAATCCCGCGAGCGAGCAAACACATCAAGTTAATTACCATGCCACTGAAAGAATTAAGACCCGTCGGTTTAAAAGGTTTCAACATTTGCTTGGACATGCATCAACACTTTGTTGCAACAAATGTTCGGTGCGTTTAAACAGGTCGTCCAACATTGTTGAAAACGTAAAAAGTGTCGAAAGCTTGTTGAAAGCGTGTTGAATCAAGTTTAAATGGGTTTAACATCGATTCAACTTTTCCTTTGTAAGGTCTTTGTGAAGCCTTTGATAGGCCTCCGAACAACTTGTTTTTGCGTCCAACACTACGAATTTCGTATTTTGAATAAAATATTTTCAATAAACTTTGAAAGTAGTAATACTTTGCCTTAAAAAAAAATTGAAATGTACCATCTGGAAGGAACATTTCCGGGAAATTTGCACGTCACGTAATCTCATCATACGTTCCAGTCGAATAAACAAACTTAGAAATATTTATTGAAATAAAACGAAAGAAGGAAGGAAATTTCGGAATTTAGGAAGGAATATTCTTTGTCGGTAAAGAAAAGAGCGGCTTCTTCTCACAATGGTCTTAGCTTTATCGTTGTTGAATGAGTCCAATTATATCTCGTGAGCTAGTTGTTCTTTAAAAGCTTTCGTAATATTGTTCCCCTGAACTCTAGTTTGAGAAATATTCTGATTTACGAAAGTATTTTACCCTAAACTCACCTCAAGTGTCACTTTCAAGTCGCCAAAGCGATATTTATACCAAAAAAAGGCAAGGAAAATAAATCTTCATCATCTTTCTCGATTATCGTCGCTCGCCGAAGTTCGTAGCCTCGATTTAGCGGAGAGAAGAGAGAGAGCCTTGGGCGAGATTTTCCATATGTGGAAGTGGGTCGGTATGCGTGGTTGCGGTGGGACTCTTTACGACTTGAATGGCTGCATAACGTATTCCTAGGCTCTGACCGGCCATATTTAGACCACTCAAAGACCAATTGTCCCTTTTTGCAGTCGAACGATTTCCTCATGCGTTTAGTAGGCGTGGCATGACAATCGCCATTAACATGCTTCAAGAGAATATTATCTCTTGGATGCCAAGAGGATTTAAACAGTTTATTGAATGAATGAAAGAATGAATGAATGAATGAATAAATGAATGAATGAATGAATGAATGAATGAATGAATGAATGAATGAATGAATGAATGAATCAAGTCTATTGTTTACGTGAGGCATGGTTACTCAGATTTCCCGACCAGAGGCTCATTAATCTCTTGTTTGCTTATATTACGGAAAATCCCGAGGACGGTCTCGTAATATCCTTGATAGATGTTTTATCAACTGCAGGATTTCATTTTGGGGGTAGAGTCTCACTTTTGAGTGAATTTCAATCAATTAAATCGTTTCACATAGCGAATACGTAAATTATGTGGAGGACAATTCCTTCACATATGAATGAAAAAACTTACGGTTATTTTTTTGATGAGAAATAAGTAAACACACACTCAACGATCATGTTGAGTTAAAAAATGAGATTGGCCCACCATCTCGCGCTGTTGAACATTTATCACTTCCCGTCCTATGAACAATGCGTGTTTCGAAATCAGCTCGACGAGCTTTACGCCTGAAAAAAAACTTTTATGCAAATGAGCTGGCTGCACACTGAATGTGCAGGCAACTCATTTGCATAAGTAATTCAAGCCAAGGTTTAACACCCATCAGCAGCATGAGGTGTTAATTCGCTTAACACTCCTGGACATTTGATAATCACCACAAAAATGTAATTAAAGCTCCCCTCGACTGAAAAGAAAAAAAAAAATAAAAAACCCGCAACTTCCGATAATTACTTTTATTTAATCATTTTCCAAATATAACTCTAATTTGGTTGCACATTGCCCAGATGAAATAGTCAAGGGAAATTTCGTGAGAAACCTTTACGGACCTACTTCGAAATAGCCTGAAGAGCGGTTCACCATGCTTATTGTCCTTGTAGAAACAATGTCTTAGCGAAACAAACAGTAATTCGTTAACACAATGTCCAGAAATAGTCCAGGCCAAATGTCACTGCAATATTTAACAGGGACAATCACTTCCATGATCAACGGCCTATTTAAGGCTAACTCCGAAAAGTCCTTCTTTGAACAGTGCATATTTTAAACTTTAAATGTCCATAAACTGCGTTGATTAGAAAGCCAGAGGCGAATACACATCGCTTTCAACGGACAGTTTCCGTTCCGTCTACACACTCTATTCTTATCACAGGTAACCCAGGCTCACTGTTTGTGTGAAGTTCACATGGTTAAATAGAGAGAACATATGGGGCGAAGTTAAGCCTACCTTGTCTCTGTACTATGAAGGAAAGGTGAAGAAGAGCATTTTCTCGAAACTTCGTGTACATATTAAGGACAACAACAAATCGCCACATGGTAAGTTTATTGATTTTCATTTCCATTTTCAAGCAAATTTCCAGACCTAAACTTCGACCCATATGAGTGCACCTAAACCCCAAGTTTTTTTTCGCTTAACGAAATAAGCTAATTTTTGTGCAGTATTTCTGTGCAAAAATTTTTTAATTTGCTCAAATCTTTAATTTTCTGTGCCCAGTCAAAATACGGAAAATCGGTCGCCATCTTGCCCCACGACTGAGTTTAAAGAGGAATGGCTCTAGCGGGTAATGTGACGTCAAATCGAGAACACGAAAGTCTGCATTTCACACATTTTCACTTGTTTGGGAAGGTTGTAGTCGATATTGTCCGAAAATATGCCGACTAAGTGTGTTGTAGAAGGATGTAGCAACGTGCGAAATTTGCAAGAGGGTANCAACCTTCCCAAACAAGTGAAAATGTGTGAAATGCAGACTTTCGTGTTCTCGATTTGACGTCACATTACCCGCTAGAGCCATTCCTCTTTAAACTCGGTCGTGGGGCAAGATGGCGGCCGATTTTCCGTATTTTGACTAGGCACAGAAAATTGAAGATTTGAGCAAATAAAAAAATTTTTGCACAGAAATACTCCAAAAACTACGCTTATTTCGTTAAGCGAGAAAAATATTTTGGGTTTAGGTGCACTTTATGCACGTGACACAAACAGTGAGCCTGGGTTACCTGTGTTCTTATTATGACCTTTTAAATGCAGCGATTTTGGAACGGCAGTACCAGTATATATACCGAAACGCAATCTTATATTTCGTAAGAAATTACATCTACGGATTTGCGCCCACAAACCACGCGGTAAAGCGTCGAGGAAACAGGCAGAAAAATATGCAAAGCGAGAAATATTTTACGCGTGACATAACTATTTTGAAATGGGGTTATGTCACGCATAAATATGTTTAGGTTACGCATAGAGTAATGTTCAGGTTACGACTATTTTCCTTCTACATTGATAAGCTGTACCTCAACACATTCATGATCCCTAATCAATGCATCATGCCGTTTGGCTATTTCTCCGTCTACTGTGGAAGGAAAAGTAACTCACCGGTGTACACTACCCAGGAGGGTATAGAAAAGATTAAAAGGAACCATCAGGTATACACTACCCAAGAGGGTATAGAAAGGATTAAAAGTAACCCTCAGGTATACACTACCCAAGAGGGTATAGATGAAATTAAAAATAACCCTCAGGTACATGTATACAATACCCAAACCCAAGGACCATTCAATACTTTTTCAATAACACTGCTGTTGGTGCAATACTCATTTAAAGAAGAGGGCGGAGACAAAGCTGCTAAAGGAGGATAGTAAGACAGAAACTAACTTATATAACCATTATTCTTTCCAAATTCCCAAATCTTGGTATCAAGCTCGGCTATACTTGAATGAATTTTTGCAATTCCACGTGATCATTCGACTGTAGGCATTTCCCGCCAAATCTGTCTGGTATTTTACAGTCAAAAGAGATCTGATTTACCGTATCAACAACAGGAATAATAATTCAGTTGAGAACTCACAAATGCATCTGCTGGAAATTCTCGCTGTTGTTATGGAGAGTACGTTGTGTTACGTAGTTGCTAAAACTACAATTGAAGAAGTTTCTAGAACGTTCAAGCCTGGTTCACATATAGTCGCAGACGATCGCAGACGATCGTAGGTAGATCGCACGATCGCTGAAACCACTCAACCGGATATCGCGAATCGCGTGTTCATACATGATCGCAGCCGATCGCAGCGATCATAGACGCCGAGGACTCTGAACTTTTAATAGGTGTTAACAGCTGTTTCTGTTGACTCTACTTAAACGGAGAATCGCTGCTAGGTCAAAGAAGAAACGTCGCTTCGGGATGCCCAAAGTCTTAAAGCGATTGAAAAAACAATCGTATTTTCTAATTTGTTCCATAAACTGTTCCGCGTCAATTTCACCATCCTTCCATCTTGTCAAAACACACACACACACGTGTAAAAGTTGATAAACAACTGGTTGTCATGGTATCATGGCGCTTGCAGTGCCGCACGATCGAGCGCGATGGCCTGCGATCGTCTGCGATCATATGTGAACCAGGCTTTAGTCATGCTGACTCATTGAGAACTTTTAATGGAACTTTCTAGAATAAATGAATGAATGAATGAACTTTATTTAAGTGTCAGAGTATTTAGCTAAATCTAAGCTAATTGTGGACACTAAAAGAACATTCCAAATAAAAATAGAATAACAAATAGGAACATCACACGGAACTACTTTAAAACTTACAATCTTTTGTAAAGGTAAAAACGGTTTATAAAGAAATTCTAAAATGTAAACTATTCATTTATTTAAGTGTCACTTATTTCAACGATAATCTGATATTTAGCTGCATGTGCCCTCAATAAGAGAAGTCAAGTCTTTCTTTCTAATGTTCCGTCACAAAATTGTCCAGTGAGGGTTGCTGTCGATCAGTAGGGGATAGTCTGGACCAAAGATATTGGCCCAGATATCTAATAGAGTGTTTTCCGTATCTCACTGTTGAGTAGCGAGGTATATCGAAATCTGCATTTCTAAGGGAGAGCACTTTGTTTTTAAAATTGAAAAGTTCACCTATGTAGTCGGGGGCTAAGCCATTTCTAACTTTGTACATTAAGATCACAATCTCTTGAAGCCTCCTATTGTAGGGAGAGAGTAACTTTGCACGTCGTAGAAGGTCCTCGTAAGTATCCGTCCTACAGTTGCAAAATTACTCTTAGAGTGCGTTCTTGCAGCCTCTCTAATTTTCTCCTATCGGATTACTTACAAAAATGCCATACAGTTTGGCAATACGTCAACTGAGGAAGAATTGCTGTTAGATAAAGTTGAAGTTTGGTCTTGCTTGAGATTAGATTGCGTCATCTTGCTAGCACCCCTATTTTTTTACTCACTTTTTTGCAGATGTCTCTTATGTGTTCAGTAAAACTTAACTTATCATTTATATTTACTCCAAAAATTCTTAAATTAGCCGTTGGTTTGAGTTTTTGATTATCGATGTCAAGAATACATTCGTCCTTTGCTTCCTTGTCAACGTTTCGAAGCGTCATTACTAAAACTTGACACTTTTTCGGGTTTGCATGGAGGAGGTTTTCCCTATACCAATGTGATACATTTTCCGCTTCATTTGTGAGTTCAGAGATTATAGCTGTGACATTAGGTCCACTTTGATAGACCTGATTGTCATCAGCATACATGAACAGGTTACTGGTTCGTACGCTCAGAGGTAAGTCATTATTTTGCAAAATGTTCTACAGCAACGGGACCAAGCAGTGAACCTTGCGGGCAGCCCCTTAGCTGTTCTTTCCACGTGCTTGTCACTCCATTGATTTTGACGCAGTTCTTTCGCTCAATGAAGTAGGAACGCATTAGATCTAAGGACACGTCAGAGAA